CGCGCTGCGCGGCACCGCCCTGCGCAGGCTCCGCCGACGCTGAGCGCGGGAGGCCGGCGGGGCTCCGGATGCGCCCGAGCCTTTGTCACCAGGTCTACCGCGTTGCGGTGTCTGTCCCCCCCGGCGGCCGTGCGCCCCGCGGTCACGTGTAGTAGGTGGAGAGATCGGTGGTAGCGCCCTGAGTGCGGAGCCCTGCTCAGAGGGCCCGAGGTAGACAGCTAACCCAGGAAGGAGCCTGGCCTTGAAAGGTCGGCCATACCCTGACTCCGGCCCTGTTTGGGAGGAAATATTTGCGATGGAGAAGGCGCAGGTGCCTGTCGCCTTTGTTCACATCATCTTTTCACTTTATTGTGATACCAGCCGGAGCTGCGGGTTGGAAAGGGGGATGGAGGGGAGTTGAGTTGTGGTGTTTAATCCGCAGAGGTATTGGAATACACGTTAAACCGGTCTTCCACCTTAGCCCTGTCCACACTAAAAGAAAGTCACCGAATAAACTTCAGTAATTTAGGTTGAGCCTGGGGACGAGGATTCATTATTCATGTAGGAGTAATGTCATCTGAGTACCTTAATGAAATGTTTATACGAGGTAACAGGCCTCGCTGATTAGCTTATAATTTGAAGGGAGAAAATAACATTACTTAGGTTTTTTTTTTTTTAAACTGCGAAGGAGCTAAATTTTCTAATTTGGTTTTATTTCATTTGGAAGTGAACTAGGTAACCTAATTTGCAATGCATTCAAAATTTGTCATTTTATAAAATGCCTCAAGCTTTGAAGTCCCCGAACTTATTGTGTTCATCTAAAACCCCAAAATAAATAGTTACACCATGGGTGTCTTCCAGTTGTTTTTTTTAGCCTTTTCCAGGAGAATCTTTGGGTTTCCACATAATCCAGGCATACTTTTTGCTAAGGAAGTATAGTTGACTAGACAAGACTACCAAAAGCCCCTCAACTGTTTTGCCTTAAATGCCCCCCATTAAAAAGCTGTACTTGTTGTTTGAGCTCTTTTCCCATTTGCACTCATGGGAAATTATGGAACAGTTTGGGTGAGTTTGCATTGCCCAAAGATTTTTTATTTTTTATTTTTTATTATTGAAGAGGAATATGTTCCTAGTGCTGCCTCCAACACAAAGGTCGGTACCACGTAGGAGATCTTCATGGAACAGACATTTCACATTCACAGATATCTACTGGACAGGTCACAATGTCAAGTCGTAGGAGAGTTATGCCCAGTGTAATACCCGGTGTTAGACAAGGAAGAGATTATATGTGGTTGGAGAGCCATCAAAGAAGGCAAGATAAGGCCTTGAAGAACAAACCCAATCTAGACAGCCAAAGAGGAAGCAGGAAAAAGATCTCTGGTAGGTGGAGTGCTAGAAACCAGAGCCCAGGTAGATTTACCCAGGGAACAGGGAGAGAGAAAGCACCACCATTGTCTGAAGAGTTGGTAATCCCAGAGACCCCCGTGAGTAGAAGCCACGGAGGAGGGTCCCTTACTGAAGAATGGATGCATGCACACCTTGCATTGCAGCCGCTGGAATTTAAGGTCTGGGGTGAAGGGGAAGCGGGAAAATGGGGGTGAGGAACAAAAAGGTTATTAAAAGGTGCGTTCATCGGGAGTGAAGAAATGTATTTCCTGAGCTTTAGACCCAGCACGGGGGAAGCCCGCGTCATCTGCGCCCTTCCCTCTGCTCTTGAGTTTGTCTTTACACATGGGAGCAGTCCTAATACCCACACAGACCTAGGCACATGTTCCAAACCATGAATTTATTTGTTTACTATTATTTATTTAGAATTCGTGTATGTACGTCCTTCCTAGCCAACTGAAACAGCCAGCTGGTCCTAAACAAGACCTAACGGGTTTCTCAGCGTGAGCCTCTCATGGTGCCACTTAAGGACAAAAGACTTATTTATTTGTTTTGGGGTGTTCTTGGGGATATGTGTCAAGGACAACCTGCAAGAATCAGTTCTTTGCTTCTACCATGTGAGTCCCAGGGATTGGACTAGGGACCTAGGCTTGGCAGCAAGTAGAACATCCTCATTTCAAAATGATTATCGTAAGTAAGTCAACTTACTTAAATGTCACAAGAACAACAAATTAGCAGTATTTATGTGTATGTGGGTATATATATATATGTGTACCATGTTTCTGCTGGGTCCCTAGGAGGTCAGAATACAGTGTTATATCTCTTCCATGTGGGTGCTGAAACCAAACCTGGATCCTCCTCTACAGGAAACATAAGAACGCCTTAATCACTAAGCCAGCTCCCCAGGTTAGCAATTCTTAAGGAATGGTAATATAAGCATACCACGTAATGCTAAATTCCTATACACTGCCCATACCTCACGTTCTGAAAGCATGGCTCACAAACTGAGGGAAATAACCCCCTTCCCCAGCTTCTCTCAGTTTATGTTCTATAGCACTGTACACAAAATCAAAACTCAGACTAACTTATCTAAAATTAAATATTAGCTCTGTCACTTACGGACAGTGACTCACCCCGTGAGATAAGGTGCATTCGTATACATAATGCCCATATGCAACATGTGATGGATAGTAATCTTTCTGTAAGTGCCAGTAAATAATTAGGAAATAAAACACCAATATAAGTATGCTCAACTGCTTCCTCCCTCCCTCCCTCCCTCCCTCCCTCTCTTTCTCTCTTTCTATCTAATTGACTTCAAAACAAGGAAGCACATACCCCCCCCAAATACCTACATAGGGAATTTTAGACTACTTTATGTTTAATTTTTCCCCTCTGAGCCTGTGTTTAGATAACAAAGTTATACATAAAAAAGTTTTATACTATAACACTTTATAGGGGATGCTATAATGCAGGTACAGTTCTGCAATGAGCATCCTTCTTATAACATCTTGAGGATTTCCTTAAGATAAATACATGACAAGTACATCTGAATCAGACTTTTATGGTTTTCGTTATCATTGGTCCAAAATGGCGAATTCTTTTCCAAAAAAATTATTAATGTCTTTTTGTGCAAAGCCCGGGCTATGGTGGTGCAGGCCTTTAATCCCAGCACTCGGGAGGCAGAGACAGGTGGATCTCTGTGAGTTCCAGGACAGCCAGGACTACACAGAGAACCCCTGTCTCAAAAAACCAATACAGTAAAAAATAAGAAGAGCTGGGAGGTGGTGGCGCACGCCTTTAATCCCAGCACTCGGGAGGCAGAGACAGGTGGATCTCTGTGAGTTCCAGGACAGCCAGGACTACACAGAGAACCCCTGTCTCAAAAAACCAATACAGTAAAAAATAAGAAGAAAAAAAAGATGCAGCCTGGCGTACTTATACTGGTGTTTTGTTTCCTAATTATTTACTTATTAATTCTTACTATGCAAACAACCTGCATGTCTGATCACTTGCCTCTAGGGGCTTCTTTGTCTTCCCTAAGCTCCTTACTGGATGGGGAAACTCGGACTGTTTCATACTGGATCAAAATATGTTTTAATCCAATTTTACTTCTCTTTCAGATGTTATTTTTAGTTATATAGGTCATAGTTTTAGTGTGGTGTATGTGTGTGTGGTGGATATGTATGTGTGCACCTGTGTGGGCAGGTCTGTGTGTGTGTGGAGCCAGAGGTTAACGGCAGGTGTTTTCCTCTGTTGCTGTCCCCTTTATTATTTGAGACAGGGAGATTCTCTCTGAGCCTGGAGCTCACCAGCTGGCTAGCCTGGCTGGTCGGCAGACCTCTGAGATCCATCCTCCTGTCTCTGCGCCCAAGCACTAGAGCCAGGGGTGCCTCTGCCGTGCCCAGATGTTTCCATGGGTACTGGAGATCGGAGCCCAGGTCCTCATGCTCTCAGAGCAGACATGTTACCCCCTGAGCCGTCTCCCCGCCCTTTAAGAACATTTCCGTTTGTTTTTTATTTGTTCTTGCTTATTTGAGCAGTACTATGGATCAAACCTAGGACCTGGTGCACACTAGTCAAACGTGCTAACACTGAACTACAGCCTCCCAGCTCTTAAACAATTTGATTTTTGTTTTTTTACTTTGTGATGTCTTTATATAAATCCAGAAGTTTGAGAAGTACTCTTTTCTCATACAGAATTGAATTGTGGAGAGCTCTCTGTTCCCTTCTTCCATGAGCAAGGCATTTTTGTTTTTTGTTTTACCATGATCGCATCATCTGGCAGCAGTCATAAAACTCCCCTCTTCTTCCTTTAACTCTTTGTTCTAGTTTCATTTCTGCTGCTGTGACAAATATCCCCGACAAAAAGCAACTTAGGGGAGGAAGAGTTTACTTTGACTCACAGTTCCAGCTGCCAGTCCATTCTTGCAGGGACGTGAAGGCGGGAACTTAAAGCATCCTATCCACAGCTGGGGGTGGGGGTTGGTCCTCACTTCTTTTCCTCTAGCTTTCTCCTCTCTTATACAGCTCAGGACCTAGGGAATGGTGCCACCCACGGTGGACTGGGTCTTCCTACATCAATTAACAATTATGACTGTTTCCCTCCATAGGCATGTCCACAGGCCAACCTGATGTAGATCATGCCTCGTTAAGACTCTTCCCAAGTGATTTTAGGTTGGACCAAGTTGATGGTTAAAGCTAACCAGCATTATTGGTCATCTTTATTTATATTTATTTAATGGACATATCTTTGGAGACAAAGTTGTACACCTAAAAACT